GGTAGCTCAGTTGGTTGGACTGCCTTCAGCTCAGGTCATGATCCCGGAGTCCCAGGATTGAGTCCCGCATCAGGCTCCCGGCTCCATGGGGAGTCTGCTTCTCCCTCTGACCTTCTCCTCGCTCATGCTCTCTTTCACTGTCTCTCTCTCAAATAAATAAATAAATAAAATCTTAAAAAAAAAAAAAAAAGAACTAGGAATCTATATTGAACTCATGGAATTTAATTGGAAACTAGTTCTTGTCCACAGAGTAAAGCCTGAGAAATCACTGGAAGCTGCAAACATTCTTTTATTTGCTTTTTCTAATTATAAATGTATACTGTCAAAATTTAGAAAACAAAGAAGAATTTAGATTATTTTTCCCCCAACTTTTTATTTTGAAAAATTTCAAACCAACAAAATACAGATATGCAGGCCAAGGGTGCTCCCAGTTACTAATTCTGAGCCACATTTAACTTGGAGCTCCTTGGCAGTCAAAGTGAAAGGAAAAAACCGCCAGTTATATAATTCACATTGCCTATAAAGAGAAAACATATCAGTTACTCAACAGTAGCCAAGTGTTTCATGACATTTGGCCTGAGAAAAAATTCTCTTGTGTTCATTTAATAAGGACTATGAAGCAGTATCACACACAAACAGCCCTACTGTAAGTGCACTGATAAGTTCTGGAAACCATGGTCTTCTAGAATCCCTCAATGTTAGCAGAAGGTGCCTGGTATGGTTGAACCCTGGCCCCAGCAGTTATTGTGTGACCTTGGGTAAAGTACTTAAAATTTCTATGCCTGATTTATTTATTTATTTTTTTTAGATTTTTTTTTTTAACATTTTATTTATTTATTTGAGAGAAGAGAGAGACAGTGAGAGAGAGCATGAGCGAGGAGAAGGTCAGAGGGAGAAGCAGACTCCCCGTGGAGCTGGGAGCCTGATGCGGGACTCGATCCCGGGACTCCAGGATCATGACCTGAGCTGAAGGCAGTCACTTAACCAACTGAGCCACCCAGGCGCCCTCTATGCCTGATTTATAAAAGTATTGTGATTAAACCACATACCTCAAAGAGTTGTTATGAGGCTTAAATGAGTTACTGCCTATTATGTACATAAAACAGGATCTGGCACATAGTAAGTATCATCATTATTATAGTAAATGTTAAAATGAAGGTGTGCACATGATATAATAGTACAGAGCAAGGGCACTTAAACTAAGGGTCCAAGGAAAGGAGGATGCCTGAGCTGGGTCCAAATCTTAAGTCTATTACTTAACTCTTGTCAATATGACCTTGACCGGATTACTTCAACTTTGTGTTCTCACCTGCTAAAACGGAGATACAATGTTAGCTGTTGATACAATAAGCTGATGTCTGCAAAATTAAATGAGATAATATCTGAGAATTAGATGAGCAAATGTAATAGAGTGTGGTATGTATAACAAATAGAGGTTTCCTCTTGGAGCTGGTGGAATAAATAAATTCCTCTTGCATTCAACTTGTACATATGCCCATTTTCCCCAGTTCAGCAGTGTACTTAGTTTAGAAGTAGATCTACATAAATAATCTTCCAGATCACAACAAAACTACCTAGAAGGAATGTTAAATGATTGGCACTTAGTACAACTTTCATTTTTTAAATTATCAGGGGAAATGTCATTGGTACAGTTATGTCCATTTTTGAAGCACATTATGCCTACCTGAGAGAGTAGGTAAATATCTTGGTTTCCATTGGACAAAATTGATTGCTCCCTTATCTGTATCACTTTATACATCCCTTATTTCACTTCATACAAATTTCTACTATAGCATGTAGTATACTGTGTTACAGTTAATAGTTCATTCAATTTGTACCTTGCTTTGCTTTAAAAAGAACTATGACAATGAGTTACATGCTTATGTGTTTATCTCCCTTCCTAAATTGTGAGCTTCTCAGATAAATGTGTCAGATCCACAGTATGTGGACAGAAGCAGACATATAATATACTAACTCTCAATGTTTGGTGAAATAACCTGAGTAGGATTTGAAGTGTGCTGTTATAAGCAAATGAGCCTAATAGAAAGTTGGGATTACCTAGGAATTTATGTGCAAATCATAGACTCAGCCTGATCTCTCCTTGGGTACATGAGAAAAACCAAAGCCTGGAAGAGTTAAAGTGATTTTCCCAAAGTTACCTAGCTAGTTAATTGCCAGAACCAAGACTAGAGTTTCAAACTTCCATCAACCATATCAGAGTCTAATCCACTATATTGACCTGCCTTTCAGACCCCACTAATTTGATGTCTATATCCACTACCTCACTTAAGCCATTATTATTGATCACCAATCACTTTTGTGTTCTTAAATCCAGTCAGTGCTTTTCAGCCCTTGATATACTTGACCTATTTGCGATCTCTGACTCTGCTGAACCCCATCTCTATCTTAGAATTCTTTCCAACCCTGGCTTTTGAGGCATTATGGCCTTGAGGTATTATGCAAGTTCCTCAGACTTTTTTGTGGGCTTCTGTTCATCTGCCACTGCCTTTTAGAGCTAGGGCTTCCTGGGACTCTATCCCTGGTCTTCTTTATTATTTCTTCTATATTTTCTCCCTGATTGATCTCATCCATACCTAGTACTTAAATTACTAATTAAAAGTTAATGTCCTCTAAATCTACTTTATTTTGACTCAACTTCTCTCCTCATTCATAGATCTGTGTAATTCAACTGCTTATTGGATAATTCCCTCTGGATCTGGAGGTTCCATTCATCAAGTCACAGTCACAATGCTCAGTCTTTGAGAGAGCCTGAGAACCTACCTGCATACTTCTCTTTCAAATAAAGGAGAATGTGGCAGAAGACCAGCTATCATCTTTACTATTGATTGTATCAGTTTCCTATTGCTATTGTAACAAATATCACAAACTTAGTAAACAACACAAATTTATTACCTCACAGTCCTGGAGACTAGAAATCCTAAAATCAAGGTATTGGCAGAGCTGCATTATCTCTGGAGGCTTTAAGGAAGACTCCGTTTCCTTGCCTTTTCCAGCTTCCAGGTGTCTGCATTCCTCTGTTCCATCTTCAAGGACAGCAGTGCAGATTCTTCAAATCTCTCTTTCTCTCTGACTTTTGTTTTCCCTGATTCAGACCTTCCTACTTCCAAGCCCAGCCAAATAACCTAAAATAATCTCTTCATTTTAAGATCCTTAACTTAATCCAATCTGCAAAGCCCCTTTTGCCATGTAAGGGAGGGAACACATTCATGAGATTCTGTAGATTAGGCCATGAACATCCTTTGGGGACCATTATTCTGTATGGATGTTACCTGTGGGCAGAGAGCTTCCTAATACCAAATTATGAAATTAAATTTGTTTACTAACTTTGTGGTCCTGGACCAGGCACCCTGTTTCTGGAGAAGGAGAAAGTACCACCAAGGCAATTTCTTGAAGGCAATTTTCTTTTAAGAGAAAAGAATGGGGTGGGCTATATATGTCCAATTTCTCCTTTTAAATTCACCAATCAGGAAGTCACTGCTTCAGGGAGTAGTGAGCTGGGGCAGGTGCAGTGAGAGGCCAGGAATATTATATTAATGGCTATCACTCCAAATGGAAAGAAACATCATGATTGGAGTCCAAATGGACTCCAGATTCCATTTGGAGTGATAGCCATTAATATAATACTACTGGTCTCTCCCAGCAACTGTCCCAGTGGAGATTGTTTCCCCAATAAGCAGATTTATATTTGAACTCATCACCATCTCATTCCACAAATCTGATCATCCTCCAAGACTCTCACCACCACTATCTTGTAATTTAGTACAGAAACTGGTGGATAACCCAGACTCATCTTTCTTCCCATCTTGCTAAATGGTTCCACCATCTATTTCAGCATCCATACTAGAAACTTGTCCTTCTCACTTATCCCCCACTCACTTCTGTCAATTCTACCACCTTAACAGCACTCATATTTATTCTTTCTCCTACATTTCCATTGTCAATACCTTTGTTAAGGCTCTTATCACTTCTTAACTGGAGTATAGCAATCACCTCAATACTGGCCTCCTGGTCTCAAGTCTTACTCTTCCTGTTCATTTTCACTTCCATACCTTGCTCATGAAACACCCTTTGCCTAGAATTATGTCCTTTTTAGATAGTCTCAAACCCCCCACACCCTGGTACCCCAGTCTGTACAAACGTCAAGCAAAATTGCCTATTCAGCATCAGCCAGGATCAGACTTGAACCTAGGTTTCTCTGACTCCAAAGTCCCTGCTTTCTTCTGCTCTTGCTTGGCCGCCTTCTCCTATAATAAAAATATTTTAAAGTCTAATTGGCTTTATACCCTACAAAGTAAGTTTGCATACATTATTTCCTCTTAGCCTCACAATTCTGCCTGCAGGCAGGATGGGTACTGTTAGCCCCATTTATAAAATAAGTTAACGGGAATTCAAGGATCGGTCCATCACACCCTGCTGCTCGGTTAACGAGGGTCACTCAGCAGTCTTCCATGTCAACCGCGCCCTCAGCCCCTTCTGGTTCCACTCCCTGTACAACCTTCCCGCACTTCGCAGAAATACCGACGGGATCCGCGCGGGTCTGGACGAGGCCACCGCTCTCGCAACCACAGGAGCCCTGGAACCCCGCGGCGGGGACCTTCCCATCTGCAGTGACGCGATCGGTGACGCCATACATTGACGTATGGTGACGTGACTTACCCGGAGCCAGGTGCCGGCAGGGCAGCCACACCCTGGAGCCCCCAGCTAAGGAGGGCGACGGCTCGGGCGGGTGGGGAAACACCGCAAAACCCGCCCGGAGGCACCTCCGACCCTAAACCCTCAGATCCCGCCTCCCCGCCGCCGACCGGTTGCTAAGTGACGCCAGCGCGCAGAGGCGCGTGCGCGGCCACGGCGGTGTGCGTGAGGGCGGAGGCGCGCCGCGGCGGCGGCGGCGGCTGCGGCGGCGAGGACGGCGGCGACGACGGCGGCCGAGGGGGCGGTGGCTACAAGGGGCGTGCGGAGCAGGCGGAAGAGGCGTCCGCACGGGCGGCTAGGTCGCAGAGGATCATCGTTGGGGTGAGTAGCCGGGGCCTCGGAGGGGAGGTGGGGCCTGGCCGCACCTGCTGCGCGGGCCCGGGGCGCGGGAACGCGCGCCCCCACTGTACCCGCGCGCGCCACTCCACGCCCCTGTGCCGCTTTTTCCGGGGGCGGGGAAGGAGCGGGGACGGGGGCTGGCGAGGGTCAGTTTCTGGGCGCTGGCTCTCCGAGAAGCGGCAACGAGGGGCTGGTGAAGACAGTGTAGTCCCGGAAGGTGTAGTGGGAAGTAGGTGTCTGGGTGGCTTTGCCAGGCTCCCAAACAGAGGAGTCGGAATCTAGAGAAGCCCAGGTTCCCAGAGCAGTCTCGCAGCCTGCCTGAGACAGGGTTGACCCAGCGACCGAGAGGAGGCGGAACTGGGGACGCGGGGTTGGGGTTCGGAAAGTTTGGCATGTTGGGGCCTTCCTCGCCCCTGCCCTGGCTGGGCTCCGAGGAGGAGCGGGTTGTTATGGAGAGAGTTGTGAATCAGTGCCGGCATGCGGCGTCAGACACACCCACGACCCGGGGAAGGCGATCTGTCAGTACTGATAGGGGGCGGCCAACCTGTTGCCTCGAGTTTCCAACTTCGCATGTATGTGCACGTGCCTAATGCACGCATACAACTTTGCTCTAGGCATTCTGTCACACTGTTGCTAAGGATTTTGAGGCCGGGGGCTGATATCCATCCTAAGTTCTCACTTCCTCGCAGACTCAAATCAGCTGTTTCATTTCTCAGACCCCTGTTGTTTTTTTGTCGTGAAGGCCAAGGAAGCAGGGAGGCACTGTTTTTTGTCTTCCTTAAAAGTAGTACAGACTTGGGGCGCCTGGGTGGCTCAGTGGGTTAAGCCGCTGCCTTCGGCTCGGGTCGTGGTCTCTGGGTCCTGGGATCGAGTCCCGTATGGGGCTCTCGACTCAGCAGGGAACCTGCTTCTCTCTCCCTCTGTCTCTGCCTGCCTCTCTGCCTGCTTGTGATCTCTGTCTGTCAAATAAATAAATAAAATTAAAAAAAAAAAGTAGTACAGACTTGCTAGTTACTAGGCAGAAAATACAGATTCTGTTTAACGTGCTGGCTAGAAAATGGTGGTGGTAGGGCAAGCCTGAGGATAAGGTCCAGCAAATCAACGGGGACCAGTACTCTCTGTGCAATGGATCCCCTTGTGAGTCAGTGTGTGGCGGTTGTAGTTACTATCCTTGGGAAAAAGAGCATTGGAGGTACAGAAGAAGTCAATATTTCCCGACTTTTGATTAAGGCAGTGCCTAGAACTGGTACAGAGACTACCCTGAAATTTAATCGTCATCTGTGTAAGAAAATTGAAGAAATTAACTTGTGGGTTTTCATTCAGCTCTAAAATTTTGTGGTTCAGTTTCCTAACAGAGGATCTGTAAGGTATGCTGCCTGAGGTGCTTACATGTTGGAACCAATAATCTTGCTCTGTAACACATAGAGTACTGGAAATTCAGTGTCTCTTGTTCTCTGGACAGTACCCGTTTTTAGGACAGGTATCATGTCATTTTTAGTCATGGCTATCTCTTAAGCATCTACAGAAGTTTCCCGCAGAGTAGGCACACAATAGGTATTTTTTAATATATTGCACTGTGTTTATTAATGTACAGCAAACATTTAATTTAGTTCATCAAGTAGCTAATACATGTGCCCCCCTACCCTATACCATGTAACACGTGGGAGGAGGGGTGTAGATACAAATGATGTAGAATACCTGTTTTTTGTTTTGTTTTGTTTTTAAGAGCAGTCTGGCTGGGAAAACAAAGCATATGTATGTTAAATCATGAAACCAAATGAGGCAGTATGTAACCAAGTGCTGTGGGAGGAGCTGTACTTTAAGTGCAGGAGAAATTTAGAAAAGTTAAGACTTGTGGTGGGCTGAGTTAGGGAACTCTTTGGAAGAGGTTAAGATTTGATCCGGTCTTTGAAAGAGCTATAAAATTTGAATAAGAGAAAAGAAATCACGTGTTGAGAAGATTGTGTGTGTGTGGTTGATGGGGTATATATAGAGGAGACCGACCTTCAGGTCCTGTCCAGTGAATGGGGTAGGAGACTTCTGATAGGGAGATACTGGAGAGAGAAGGTTTAGTAGGTTGGGAAGGGAAAGTGTTAAGACGAAGGCAGGCTTATCAGGATCCCACTGATAACGGGGATAAGGCCAGCTTTTTGGATGGCATGGGAGTTGTGTTAAAATAGAGTCTTAGAGGTGCGCCTGGGTGGCTCAGTGGGTTAAAGCCTCTGCCTTCAGCTTGGGTCATGATCCCAGGGTCCTGGGATCAAGCCCCACATCGGGCTCTCTGCTCGGCAGGAAGCCTGCTTCCTCCTCTCTATCTGCCTGCCTCTCTGCCTACTTGTGATCTCTCTCTGTCAAATAAATAAATAAAATCTTAAAAAAAATAGAGTCTTAGACAAGAATACATGTTATCCTTACCTAAACTTAGGGAATATTATGGTTGAACCAGGATCAGGTTGTTGTATACTTCTGATTTCAGTTAGTAATTTGAATAAAGGCCTCGCTAATATGAATGTATCTTATGTATTTAGCCAGCAGTGCATGTCTCCATTTCTAAAATTTGCCTGATGTGCTTGGGCCTCTCCATTGGAAATCTGAAATGATGTACCCAAAACAATTATCCAGCCACTCTCGGTGACACAGTTTTGCTTGGGATTATCTCTTAACACTGGTCTGTGAGGATTGTAGTTACTGCTGATCCTGTAATATATACAAAGAATGTTTGCTGGGAAAGGAGTCTGTTTGAAGAAGGATGCTAAAAAATATTGACAGAAAGATTTGAGAAAATTAAAAATGTTGCCGCTGAATATTGAACCTTTGGTCTTTATAATATCTTTTGTTGTTATGTGGAAATTCTTTTGAGTGGTGCATAAACCTGAAGTTGAATTGCTAACCTACCCTGTGTAAAGTTGCAACACCAAATGTTGCATTATTTAACAACTCAGCAAATATTTATTGGGTGCTGGCTATGGCTAGATACTGTGGTGGGTGTTGGGAACACAAACAACAAGACACAGTCTACCCTCTGAGATACTAAGTGTTGGTCAGACTAGACTAACCCCTAAATGTGGTGTGTTATAAGAGTTAATCACTTTGGAATAAGTAAAATGCTGAGGGGATTGATGACTTTGGCTGGGGAAAAATTGATAGAATCAGGGAAAGCTTTAAAGAGAAGAGAATAGAACTTATCAGCCCTGCAAGTTAAGTAGAATTTTGCACACGTAAAAGGGAAAACAGGCATTCTAAGCAGAGGGGAGAGCATAAGCAAGGTTGCCAAAGGTGAAAAATAATGGGATTTTCAGAAAACCTTGAGTTGTTTCTTGATGAGACAAGAAAGGTATATTTGGAGCCAAATTATGAAGGGGTTTTCCATTCCATTCTAAAAAGCCTAGACTTTCTTTCCTCCAGTGTCACTCCCATGTTGGTGATGGAGGGCCTTAGAGAGTGGACTAATCAGATCACAAAGTTAACTCGCAGTTCTTATGCAGAATTGCATTAGTGTGCAGAGCCAGGGAGACCAGTTAGAATGTAGATAAAAGATGCTGGGAGCAGGGGCACCTGGGTGGCTCAGTGGGTTAAGCCTCTGCCTTCAGCTCAGGTTATGATTTCAGGGTTCTGGAATCGAGCCCCGCATCTAGCTCTCTGTTCAGCAGGGAGCTTGCTTTCTCCTCTCCTCTGCCTGCCTCTCTACCTACTTGTGATCTCTCTCTATCAAATAAATAAATAAAATCTTTAAAAAAAAAAAGATGCTGGGAGCATGAAGAGGGAGAGTGGGAATGAGTGGACTGTAGAGGTATTTTAGATGTTAAAATCTTTTTTTTTTTTTTTTAAGATTTTATTTATTTATTTGACAGATCACAAGTAGGCAGAGAGGCAGGCAGAGAGGGAGAGAGGAGGAAGCAGGCTCGCCGCTGAGCAGAGAGCCCGATGTGGGGCTCGATCCCAGGACCCTGAGATAATGACCTGAGCTGAAGGCAGAGGCTTTAATGAACTGAGCCACCCAAGCGCCCCTAGATGTTAAAATCTTTATTTTTTTTTAAAGATTTATTTATTTACTTATTTATTTGACAGACAGATCACAAGTAGATGGAGAGGTAGGCAGAGAGAGAGATTGGAGGAAGCAGGCTCGCCGCTGAGCAGAGAGCCCCAGGTGGGTCTCGATCCCAGGACCCTGAGATAATGACCTGAGCCGAAGACAGAGGCTTTAACCCACTGAGCCACTCAGGCGCACCAAATGTTAAAATCTTTAAATGTTATGACCAGCTAGAGGTGAGAGAGTGAGACGTCAAAGGTGTGTATGGCTTGAATAACTGGTGATTATGAGGATATTAGATTAGAAAACACAGGAGGAAGAACAGATATGCAATGGAGAGAGGAAATGATGGCATGTTAATTAGCAGGTCCCTGTGTAGAGTTTAGAGAGAGCCAGTAGTGATTGGGATTTCTACTCCAGAGTTGATGAGACAGTTTAGGAATAATTGTGACAATCTCCAAGGCTAAGGAAATAGTACTTTTCTAGGAGTGAGTATAGTAGTTAACTCTGTGGACTTTGGAGTCCAGAAAACCTGAGGTCAGATCTGTTTCACTTATTAGTTGGATTGGGCAACTGTGGGCAAGTTATTTAACATCTCTAAGCCTTAATTTCTTCCAAAAAGTGGGATCAATAATACCTTAAAGAATCATTGTGGAGATTAAATAAGATAGTATATGCACAATGATTGGCACAGTACCTACCTTATAAATGCTTAATAAATGATAGCTGTTGCTATTAGTAGTGGTAGTTATAGTTAGCATTGTAGAGGTAGTAGGAGAAGATATAACTACCCAAAAATTAGAGAATGAGAACAGAAAGTACAAGGAATGGAACTTCTGGAAATCAACACTTAGATCAAACTTTGGTCCTCAGACTTCAGCTTGCATGAGAAATACATGAGGCCTTGATAAAACACAGATTACTGGACCCCACGCCCATAGTTCCTGATTGA